GAGATAACGTTGTCCATAACGAGCCCCAAGCTAGAGAAGGGAGCACTAGTAGATATACATTATGTTGCGCAATTTGGAGAGTGTATTTCACTTAGCGTATACTTGAGAATCACAAGATTGTTCGTAATGAGCATATATTATCTGCCGACGGAAATATTGGCCCCAGGACTGGTAGAAGCCAAAAAAACACGTTCATCGGATTGAAATTATTTGCATATATTTTGACCAAGAAGATTCACTTGGCCTTAGCGCTATGAAAGACTCAATAGGTCGGCGTTTTAGCCAACGGACATACAAGGCAAAAAGCAATAATTTATCCAGTAGTTAAAGACGCAGTGGCGTGAAGAAATTTCAGGGCCGAGTTAAAACGTGATCCTAGGCGAACACGCAAAGGGAGATTTAGGCACCGCGGGGCCATGCAAAGATTCCTGTTGGGGCGCCCCTACGTACACAATTCTACATATTTCCTAAAATACACTCATTATAATAGAATAACGTTTTTACATAAACCAACGGAAACCCTTTAAAGGGGCTCGGGCAAGTTCTTAGGCAAGTGGTAATTTGGTCTGCCGGTGAATCTGCCCCGCGTGCCGCTGCGTGTAGCGCAAGTGCTCGTGTGGCTGCTGGTGTGTGCCAGGTGCATAGGGCCAGGGGCAGAGTTAGAAAAATCGCAGTGTGGTCAACCATGTCGGGCGAGGACATGGTGCCCCTAGCGCACGCGCCCTGTTGGGATCAACAGCCCCCCTTGAATGTAAAAATAGATGAAGTTTTTATTAAAGTTTTTTTCGTAAATTAAGTAATTAAAAATCATTCCAGTTTGATTTTCACGGTACGGCCTGATATCACGCATGGTTCTATCCCCCCCCCCCATTTCAGAGCATCCGGACAAAGTGCCGTCTTGAACATTATGAAGAAGTTAGGTGTGGAAAATATGGCCCGCAACGATATTAACGGTTTTAGTTGTATCCCTTGAGGACTTGCCAGTTGGACATTCCTGATCTATATCTGTTGTCGAGGAAGGCCTTGTCAGTCTGATGATCACACGCCGAGAAGCCCGAAAGTTGTCAGTGTCTAGGGTAAAGGTTAATGTGTGCCCCAATGAAGGACACATAGAGTACCCAGCGCGGATAACACGCATAAATCGGCATCTCCTGTAACTGGAGAAAGCTTCCGGAAGAAAGGTTAAAATAAAAATAGAACGTACATTCAACTGCGAACATTATGGAAAATCGTGATTAATTTTATAAAACACTACTTGAAAGCAACACTTCATTACTAAATTCGAGTATGTACGTACTGTTTTACATCCCTGAGATCTGAGTAAATGTTGAGAGTGTGACGAAACGGAAGAGAGTAATCATGTATTGCGTCTGAACGCAGGCGATGGCGCTAAAATGGCGTCAGAGCACCAGGTCCCAGTAAGTAGTGAAGGCAACCTGTGTTTTATTGACAAACTATTTGCTACTCCTTTATCGCATCCCCTACCCGATCGTTGAGGAAACACCATTGACTACTACTAAAAGTATACGCGGACATGGTCATGGACGTGGTGGACGATGTAGAGATGGACGTGGTTGTGTGAAGGCCGTTGCTGTGGTCTGAATCAAAGCGTCTCTAATGCGTCTCTACAGCGTCTCTTAACACCTTTCATGTTTCACTTCTGGCTACCGTTTTTAAGGACCGACAGGAATCCAAATGTCGCACCACGAGGTGGATGTGTCGGTATTTATATTCGAAATGATCTCGCTTATTAATGTATCGTATCTTGAACAGGCGAAATTAATCAGTCTAATATCTCTCCATCGAAGTCTCAATTGTGGGCAAAAGACGCGCCTTAGCGGAAGTGTACTGGCCACCGCAGATAGGAAATATTGAGGTCATGAGCAACGTAATTGCATTTTGCGCAAGCGAATATGAAAAAAATTATATTCATGGGTAATTTTAACTGCAATCTTCTGACAGCACTTGCCGAAAATTTCAAGCGTTTTGTTTGCTAAATGAACCTTATTATTCTGGCGCTAAATGCTACCCATCACACTGCCGACACAGACACATTGATTGACCATATAATCGTATTAAATCACAAGAAAGTCAATCACCATGGACAAATGTCAGTTCCCGGAATATCTAAACGTGAACTTATATAACTATTATATCGAATGCATATCAATGTCCGAAAAGTACGCCCAAAATTTTCAAGTACCGTAACTTTATAGTCATAGAGCTTCATTTCGGAAGCATTTTTCTCCGACGGCTTATCTGTGCCCTGATAACTTGTTAATGAAGAAAATAGTACAGGCAGAAAAGTAGCGCTTAGAAAAGATCGCGCGACACGCCCCCTCCCTCCGGTACCCCGGTTAACGGAAGAAATACGTGTCTTAATGAAACAGAGAGACCTCCTTTAATGTATCTTTAACACAAAGTGCGAACAGAGATGCATACAAGAAACTGGGAAATTTTGTAACGCAAAAATCTAGGAACCCTAAAATTAAATGTTATCATAGTATTCTTGACACAAACTCAAAACAAGTATGAACATCTCTGCACACTTTCAAATCACAAACCCAAAGAAAACTGCATACATCCCTTGATACTGTTAACCAGCGTTTTGCTAACATGGTCCCTCACTTCGAATATTTCTATTAAATAAAAAAAAATTAAAAAAATAAGAAAATAAAAATAGCAGAACTCTCTCAACCTTACGATCCTTTTCGGAAGATTTTTTTTTTTTTTTTGCATCTACAAATGATTATGATATATTCAAAACCATTCAGAACCTCAAATCCCACTTCTTCCCTTCTGCCCTTACTCGTCTCCTTTACCCTTTGTATTTTCGTCCGACTGTGCATTTCACTAGTGTTACGACATCCGTCCTGATTAAAGTTTTCCTCGGTTTATTCATTCCCTTAAGAAGAATGCCGGGATGGTCCTGAGTCTTGCATTTCAGATGTAAATGTAAAATCTAACCTACTTTTTCTTGTAATTTGTTTGCAGTTGACGCCTCCTGGTGTAGGAAATATTTTATCACATTTTGCGAAAGTAAAATTATTGACTTTCCACGCCCTTCTTGTAAATAGGACACATTGACTCTCTTTTCATTATATTAGCATTAGCGTCTAGAAAATTGACCATGAAAATACATTCATATTTTATTTTATTACCAATGTGCTACACATTTCCGTCAGCTAGTACGACCATTGCACTTTCGTAAGTAACGTAAGTAGTACTAGAAACAATTGTACGCCAGTTCCAGAACGCCGAATTGTAATTATTTAAATGTAAATATTTAAATAGCCGGAAGAGTAGGCCTTAAGGCCTGAGTCTCGCCAGAAATAAAGATATAATAATAATAATAATAATAATAATAATAATAATAATAATAATAATAATAATAATAACGATAATAATATAATGGAAAGAACATCTGGTGATAATGCATATTGAACAACTGTAATAATATATTTGAGATCGTCATTTCAATTGGGTCAATTGATTTCGGTGCCCTGGTCATCAGTTATAATGGCTTTCAGTTTTCATATTTTGTTTATTATAACTTTTTCTAGCCATACATGGTTTCACATCATACTAAATAGGTGAGAAGAGAGGTGTAACGAATAAGTATTTTCATGTGCCTTATCGCAAACTATGTGGTGAGATATTGAAAGGCTTTATTTTCGTTAGGTAGTGTAGAAAGGGACTTGATTAAAGAAATCAAAAATGGTTAATCATTTTGAATTATGTTTCGTGTTTGGGAACTTTTTTTAATGGCATAGCCAGTCATAAGAATTTTATATTAGATATATCTTTTCTGAACTATTTTACTTTTAGAAAACATTAAATCTTTTTGTGTGTTTTCCTTCTTTTGCGGGCAAGGGAAGCCCGTATGCATTGTTCGCCATGGGAATATGACCATATGTAACAGAAGTGCTGAAATGTCAAAAGTGTATTAGACACTCGTGTATATCTTAGTTAATTATTAAATGTTATTTATTTTTCCAAATGCGGCGATGGTGTAACGGTTAGCGTACCGGATTATTGTACCCAAGTTGGCGGGTTCAAACGCGATCGGAAAAGAAAAAGAAGAAGAAAAAGAAGAAGAAAAGAAGAAGAACAGAAGAAGAGGAAAAGAAGAAAAAGAAGAAGAGGAAGAAGAAGAAGAGGAAAAGAACAAAAGAAGAAGAAGAGAAGAAGAAGATATGATGATATGGGTGATTCAATACATTTACATCAAAGCCTATACGTAATTTTACGATCTAAGAAGCTACAATTATGTCTTAGAAATGCTTAAAATATTCAGCGCTTTGTTATAAAAATAGTATTTTGCAATGAAACATGATGCATCTTCTAGTCACCTCTAGATCGTGGGACAGTGTAAATTATAAACAGATTACATACTTTAGCACATTTTATTTGCAGTAAGATCACAGAAGACGGTGGAATTTTGTTAAGATTTTCTGTTCCTTAGAAATGTCTCTCAACAGACTAGATTATTATCAATACTTTCAGAATTTCCAAAAAGAGTTTTTCATATCGCATTTTGTGATGTACAAATCATATCGCATTTTGTGATGTGTATTATTTGTATTTTGTTATGTTTTACTTCTTTAGTCTCTGGATGCTCGTACATTAAACGTTGAAAAGTATTGAAATAAATATATATTTATAAGCCAATAATTTATACAATATGCATTTGATATGAAACCTTCCTAATTAAATTCAGTACGAGAGAATATCTTATGTGAATATGACCCATGCCTATGTCTTATAGGAGTAGGCTACGTTTATTGAACACATCAAACATGTATAATTATATAAATTTGCTGCAATGGCATTTCAGTAAAAAGACATAAATATAATATGTATGAAAAATATAATTTTATTGAGATTATTTTTGAAACGGATCACATTATAAGCAACACAATTTCGCAAAATATAGCACGCGCGTGTGCCATATTGTTTGGGGGAAAATATGATAGTCTGTAATTGCGTATTCTGGGGACAACCTTGGTTTTAACATCGTGGGGGACACCATGACATACATCAACAGATCTTGATCATACAAACACCAGATAGCACTCGTGTTCTTGGCATATCGTCATACGGCATTGGCAACATTGTTGTGGGGTGCAGTACTACGGTGAGTGAGATTGTGCTTCGCATTTGGTGTACTTTTCGGATATTATCAAGAAGTTGGAGTCCGTGAAGCGTTCGGTTGCTTGTAGATCGCTTCTTATTAAAAGGTGGGTACATACACAATAAAGAATAGTACACGGTATGGAATCCCCTAGATATATATTGTAGACAAAAGTCCGTACCGTACCGTCAACCGAGGTAACTTTGCCTTCGTTGTTGAAATTGTTCGTAACCCTGCCAAGTTCCTGATCAGCAAATAAAGGCGCCAATATTTTCATTGCACAGACAAGTGATTGAAGAATAGTTTGTTTGCTTTTTTGCGCATTTTCAGCCTTATCCGTTGATTGCTAGTTATTAACAGTGTTCGTTTTCGACTTGTAAGAGAGCGAGTTTTTAGCAGCCTACTCGTGACTCGCCCATTCAGTCCAACAAAACTTTACGTGCGCTTTTGATTAATGTGGTGTATAGTAATTTCCTTTCAAAATCTCTTTTAGAAGTTAATTATATGTTGCATTCATATTTAATATTATTACTTGACAGTGTTGCATTATGAAACTTGATGAAAGGAAGACAACATTGCAAACCCAGAATTTCGTTATTTATTTATTTATTTATTTTTAATTAGCCACACGATTGTCAAATTGTGCTTTTTTCATGTTCATGCTAAATTTTTATTTTATTGTGATTTCACATAAATAAAAATTAAATATTTTTCATGATGTTTGTTACACTACTGAAGCCCTTTTTCATTAATTATTAACCCATTGGTAGACAGGTGGGAGTATATTATATAACAATGCAATAGTTCACAAGGCAACTTTTTATTGGCAATATTAGAAGTATTGTCTTAGCTATAAGTTTCATTCAGAATGTGCATCTATTGTAAAACAAAGTGGTAGATTTCACAAAATATAGAAGCATTGTGTATGAGGAGCAATTTTTTTTTTGCTGGCAATTATTCTTTAAAGTAAATGTTTTGGTACTTTATTGAAGTGCTGTTCAATAGTTCAATACTTTTTTAAACCATAAATATATTTTAAAAATTCCCTTGTAGATCACATTAATCACATAATATACTCATATTAATAATGGCAAGTTATCCATCAACCTTAAAAAGTAGCCAATGAACAAATATTATCAATTTCAAATGAACTGCACTATTGAACAGCACTTCAATAAAGTACCAAAACATTTACTTTAAAGAATAATTGCCAGCAAAAAAGAATTGCCCCTCATACAGAATGTTTCTATATTTTGTGAAATCTACCACTTTGTTTTACAATAGATGCACATTCTGAATGAAAGTTATAGCTAAGACAATACTTCTAATATTGCCAATTAAAATTTGCCTTGTGAACTATTGTATGGTTATATAATATACTCCCACATGTCTACCAATGTGTTAATAATTAATGAAAAAGGGCTGTGATGCCATCTTTGAAGACCAAGACTTTTTATTTAAATTATTTTGTTTACTTTTCAAAAAAACAACAACAAAAAACAAAAAAATAAAACAAGAATTAAAATTCATGAATTCAAATAACGCAAAAACTTACTTTTAATGCAAAGCAACATCAATATAGTCTTTGCATGGTTTCTGGTTCTTCAAAGAATACCAGAAAATGAAAAGAAAAGAAAGAAAGGAAGAAAGAAGAAAAAACAACAAAAAACAACGATTTGATTGTACACAAGAACCTGTCACCTGCCTGAGAACAACAAAGAACATCAATGCATCTGGCAAAGATGGAACAAAGCATCTGGACAAACTTAAGATTGAAACTACATTTATTAACACACTGTGAGATGTGACAACATCAACCTCATATCAAAAACAAGACAACTCAATGCATCGTAACCAGATTATCTTATTTTATTTAGTATTAAGGGCACTCCAGCGTAATTAAGTATATTCATATTGTCAGCACCAACAAATGAATATCCAAAATGTGGATCTGTAATTATTATATTCCAATTATTAAAGGAGTGCAGCATTTACCAGCAGGAGAGAACATAATTACCTGCCAACATAAAAAATTGTTTAGATGAGTTAGGAAAAATTCTTGTCCTACTGGAATTTTAAAAATACATTGATATACTTATTTTAATACGTTATTAATGTAATGCATTACACATTGTTACTAACTACCAAAGCTATGAACATAAAATATCAAGGTTGCTAATGATCAGGCCTTGATATGACTATAAATAAACATAAAAAAGATGTTAATTAAAAACTAATTAAGATTTATTTATCCACATATACTTTTCATTGTAATAATCTGCTCTTAATATCTACAAAATAAAGAGGATATTTCCAATTATTAAATTTAATACATTTTGCTTCGGGAATTAACTTAAATAATAGAAATTTGATTGAAAGAGTAATCCGAATTATATTTGAACAATATTTTTAACTTAATAAAATTATGATTCCCCTACTCCATTTAATACAAGGTTAAGTGTTTGCATAATTTTCCTGTTTTTTATTTTTATTTTTTATTTTATTTTATTTTATTTTTATTTTTATTTTTATTTTTATTTTTATTTTTTTATAATCACTGGTCACACAGTTGGCAAGTTTCCTTGGTTGACAGTTGCTGTTTGATACTCATGCGAAGTTGTTAATAATTCACCAATGTGTAAATATTTTGAAAGTCTTACAGCGTGGATTATCTCATAATTTATTTTAATGTTTCATCCTTAATGTGTCATGTAAATTAGCTCACTTTGCAAAATGTAGGGGTCTAATTGCATGGAAGTCATGTTTGAATATTGAGATGAGCATTGAACAACAGGAAACAAACCCTTGCCAAGATGTATATACTTTTTTAAACCGATACTTTTTAGATCGCATTTTGTTTTTGTGAACTCTTACTTTGCTTGACAAAACTTAAATAAGCAATAATGGAAGTACACCATAAACTATCTTCTGTTGATCTGCCCCCCATCAGAAAGGCTAATCAATAACACGAGTGTTATATAAATAATATAATATTAGAAGGTACTGTTAAATGAATTATAACTTGAATATACTGGTCATTGTACAAATTTAGTTGCATTTCCATAGTCAAGTTTTATTGACTGGTTTAATATGGATTGAAACTAAGTATGAATAAGAATGAATTCCCTTGTTGAGACCTGAGATCATAGTTATAAGGACATTGAGGTATTGTTATAAGAATTCTTAAATTATATTCTTCTTAAATTCTAAAAGACCTCGGGTATCTAATATAACTATTCAGATACATTAATCAACTCATTCAAGATTCTTCACAGTATTTCATTCAGTTCTAATTTAATTTGTTTTGTCTCCTTAAAAACAGAGCGTTATTGGCCGTTAACTAATCCAATGTTAAAAGTTTTTATTGTGATAAAATAATACGATGGGGATTAAGTAATGTAAATTGCTAATAACTGAAATGATTGCACTGAAAACGGTCTTTCCTGTCATCTATCATAACAAAATGCTGTTTTTCTAACAATATACGTAACTCTCACTTGATAAGGATATTATTCTCAATTTAACTTCTTTAACAATTATATTGTAAAGTAATATTTACTAATCTGCATTTTACATTTACTTGTTGAAACTAAATTCTACTAAAAAATAAAACTAGAATTCTTTTAGATAATTATCTCTAATTGTTATAATAAATTTAACTGAAAATGCCCTGTAAATTGTATGAAAGTTTTTAAAATTGAAGAAACTAGCCTATATTTTTAACCTTTTCTCAGGTAGCCAGTACTAAGCATTCATCTATCTTTTTATTGTTTTTGATACTTAGAAATTTGTTCCTTTTACTCCTTTCATGGTTAATAGAGGATTTTTCATTAGTGTCAAAAATTCTATTCCCCAATTGAAAGAAGGGTCATTTGTTCTCTCACATGAAATAAATGTGATTGTGCCAAAATAACCGAGATTCCATGGGACAAATGGCCAGAAAAAATTCCTGCAGAATAACAAAACATATTAGACGTTGGAAACAAAATCTAGACACTTCCATCTTTGCTAGCCATTTTATACAATTTAATCATTCTTTTGACACTACAAAATACTTCAAACTTCTCTTAGCAAAAAAGGTGAAAAAAAGAATATTTTGTAATATATAAAAATTTGAAAACGATTCAAATATCCCAATTTTACTATCCCTAATGAACTTTCCCTATTACAAAAGTGTCTTGTATTAATCCTTTTTATTGAATAGCTTCATCTTTGTCCTCCCTCATCCTTTTTGGGCATTCACTATACGACATATTGGATGGAGCATTTAATCATGAGAAAATAAATTAGTTTCTCCTTTATTATTATTATTATTATTATTATTATTATTATTATTATTATTATTATTATTATTATTAT